ATATTAATTGTTGACCTCAGTGTCTGTGCTACTGGTGTTATATTCAGGTAGCAGTCTCCTGTACCGATTAATTCAAGGGTATTTCCCACTTTATCCTCTAGTAGGTGCAGTGAGGCTGGGTTTATGTTGAGGTCTTTGATCCATTTTGAAGTTTTGTGCAGAGTGAAAGGCTTGGGTCTATCTGTAGTCTTCTACATGTTTGCATCCAGGTATGCCAGCAAGACTGGTATTTCTTACTAAATATTTTAGCAAGTTCAAAAACTAGAAGCAATTGAGGATTCAAAAGTAAATACCAAATATAAAGAAAAAAACCTATTGTTTATATTCTGTGCTCCAAGAACAATGACCAAAAATTGCTAGTCCATGTGAGAAATTCACAAGCAAATCAAGACTATAATAGAAATTAAAATGAAACATAAAAATAAGGATAAACAAATAATGGTACATTGCATAATGTAGGGGTAAACTCATAAATTTTGCCAAAATTAAAAGGACCACACAAAAAGTTGGAGAGATGGCTTAGAAGTTACAATCGTTTGTTACTTTTGCAGAGGACCCAGATTCAGTCCCCAGCACCCAATATGGTGACTAACCATCTGTAACTTTAGTTCCAGGGATCCAATGGCACTGAAGATCCAGTGGGAAGATTGGGCCTCCAATGGCACTACATGAATGTGGCGTACAGACACACATGCAGGCAAAGCAGCAATATGCATAAAACAAAAATAAATAATAAATGGACCAAGTAAAATCTCATCTCCAAAACTTCTCAGGAAAATACAATCTACATCTAATGTATTTACTTAAAACAGTGTGATAATGATATCTGCTTTGTAAATTGTTCAAGTTAGGGAAATAATTAAGTGACTCTAAAGACACAATACCTTGTGTGTATAAACCAGGCTATGAAGCCAAGAGTTAATCACAAAATATCATCATTCTCAATGTTAGGCATAAGAACTGAATCAAGGCTATAACTTCCAGTCATTCAAAACAATTCTGGGTGAAAGCATAATACTTGGAAGGAAGGTCTGTAATTAAGGAATTATAGTGAAGGACATATCCTCATGAGGAAAATGGAGTTATGGTTTGAGACTCATTAATTATTGGATAATGGAAAGGAGTGTGCCTACTGTGGACTGGATCAAGCTTCAGGCTCAAGGTCACGGCTAAAGGCCAAGATCTAAGCTGAAAGAAGCAGAGGATGAAGGAGGAAATTGAGGCTGGGGAAAATCGCAGCGTGGTTTGCTGAGTGTGTCAGGCCAGAGCGTGCTGACAGGGCCTTAATTTTTATTGGCTGTTTTAAAATGTAAGATGTCATCAGTATAAAAATTTAAACAATATAGAAGGACAATAAAAAGTTCAATTGACCTCTACAATCTTACTTACAAAAATAAACCAATAAATAATAATTTGTCTGTAATTTCACGTATTTCCTAACACCGGTGTCTGATATGGGTGTATATATAATATATATATA